AAGTTGTAATATATATATATATATATATATACATTATTTACTCGATAAATTATATACAAGGTGTGTGACTTTAATGCTAACTAGACATGTGTGATAGGAACATCATACACTCACGTGTGTGCACCATGATCACTATCTCACATATCATCTGGAACTTGACATTGATGGACCTTGACATTGATGATCAAATAATGTTACTAGATTGTGGTGCATGAAACAAAGCCCGAAAACAAGATGGGTTACCAATTTCTTTGAGAGAAATCCGGTCCTTGAAGCCAAACGACCAAAGCCTATGCGTTTGCCCAAGTGCAATTCTCAACCTTAGTTGTTTCTATTAAGTCTACTTTTTCGTGCCCTTAAGCCGAAGGACCCTCACATGAGGGTTGTGTTCTACCATGTCGCAACTGGTTCTTTTAAAAACGTCAAGTTGAGCTGATTTTTCACTTTTGCAATGAAAGAACATTCTCTTAGAACTCTCAGTTCACTTCTACATTTCTTTATGCCGCAAAATACCACTGCCATGCCTTTACGTCATTTAACATCTACCCCATATATACAAAAAAATACTTAATATAATTAATAGAATGTAATATTATGCAAACAAAAACACAATCTGCTCATACTTACAACCATGGATATCGAGTTCCTTTAGGCCTTAATTTCAAGCATACTGCATAGTTCATTCAAGACAAGAATTTGTTTCCATGATCATACTCAAAGCCCTTAACTCACTCATTCAAGTACATAAATAATTTTTCCAAGTTGAGTGAAAACATTGATTAACCACCAAGGTCCACTATAACAAAAAGAAAGCACATATATAAACTGTTGAAGCATATATAAACTCAATATCCATATCATAGAATGTAAAACATTGATGATGTATTTGATAATGTGTGTCATCACATTATTAACCAAAACCAAGCAAAGAAACTAAACAATGACAATAACCTTCTCAAATTTGGATGACCAAAACTTTCCTGAACTCTTTAAGTTTAATTCCAACTTAAACCTATTAACATCATAATCAAAACTAAGCAAAAAAATTGAGCAATGACAGTAACCTCAAAGTAAGATGGCTGAAACTCTTCCAGTCCAATTTTAGTCCATGTTAGTTCCTGATTTATAAACATAAAAGGTCAAGATTCCATTTAACATCATTACAACAATGTCATCATAAAAAAATCACTAAATTAAACAACACTCACAATTGAAACAAAAACAAATAAATACTAAAGATTTAATCTATTGCATTCGAGATACAAATCAATTTTATGAACAATAAATGTTAACCCAAATAAAAAATTCCTAAGAATACACAAATCAATTTTATGAACAATATATGAATCCCATGGCAGGTTAGGGCCACTTCGTTCTACTACTCCACAATAGTGCACTATTGATAACTATGGTGAAGATTATGTTTCTTTAAGCAAGTAAAATTAGTATATTGTTTTAACTATTTCATTAAGGAATAAGACATTTCACAAATGGGCCGGAGAATATCCATACTCAAGCAAATGTACTCCATCGCTCTCAAATAGCATATCAGATAATAAGAATTGATTTAATGTGCAAAATAGTAGTAGTAAAAGGAAAATAACCTTTTGTAGAAAGCATAGCCATTGTGCCCCTCACCAAAAAATAAGCATCTCAAAAAGAAAAGTATAGAGCAGTAAATAGTGTGAAAGTAATTTGAAGCCAGTCTTACAACTCTTTGAAGAATAGGTTCTAAAGATGAGCAAAGCTTCTGCAAATTGTCTACCTTGAGAGCTTCCACAATTACCCTGCAAAATATATGTCTATGAATTATAGGAAACTAACAAAAAAAATATACATTATAAACAAGTAGCGTATTATTTATGACCAATAAGAGATAAAGTTTTATTTTATTATAAGTTTAATAGATAAGTTTCTAAATATACATATAACTATTTTAGTTTATAAGCATATACACTAATGTATAAGAATATAAATCCTAAAAGAATGGAAACAAAGTTGTCAAATAAATTGAAAATAAATTTTATCTTATTTTATTTCATTTCTTCTGCTCTCATTATATTAGTAGCTAAAAAAAATACTAGATTCCCAATCATCCCCTCCATTATTTGGGAAACAACCATAATTGCACCTAACAAGACCTTTTACCATAGAAACCTAAGCTCCTAAGTTACCCACTTCTTTGATCTTCCAATTTATTATGAGATTAGCACAACATTAGGAAAGTGTTATTGAACTTTAAAAAATAAAAATGGAAGCTACATGCAGTACACCAAAAGTTTCATACCTAATTGTGAAACCTAATCGGTGAAAGGGGTAAGAAGAGTTCGAACCTGAATCGGAGAGAAAGGAAGTGCGAACCTGATTTTGAGAGAGACAAAGTGTGCGAAAGTGAAAAGTGTGAATGAGCAAAGGAAATTGATTTTGGTTCTGGAAACTCTCACATATGTGTTCTCAATTTTCATTACCTTGAAAAATCGATTTTGATTTTGGTTTAACTTAAAAATTATATTTATACAAAGACAGAGGTCGATGAATTTAAATTAATATAAATTATACTTAGTATATATTTAAAAAACTATTCTTTAATTAAAATTTTTTATCATTAATTTATTAAAAAAATTATATGTTTAATAAGATAATGTTTTCTTAAACAAAATAGTTTAATTTCATTAAAATAACAATTTTAATAAATTAAATTTATTTTAATTTTTCTTTAAATTTCAATGAGCAAGAAAATTTATAGGAAAATTTACCTACGACTTTTGCTATAATTCATCAAAATATTATCTATTAATTATATTTGCAACAAAACTTATAAGAAAAAAAAAATTCTTCTACAACACATCACACCTATTGGAGATTTTTATTATAATTTAAAATTTAGTTAAATATTTTATTTAATTATTTATTTTACATAATGTTTTATTAAAGGAGTTTGTATTTTATTTTTTTTAATTACTTTCTTTTATTCATTGAAATTACAATAATGATACTAAAATTTAAATCTAAGTTTCTATGCATACTACCTCAATTTTCACTAGGTTCACCCGAGTGATCTTTTAAAATTACTATTGATCAATATTTTAATAGGATCGAGTAATTATGTTTCTAATCATTTAATTAATTCTTTTAACATATTTGACCAAGTCTTGCTTTATGGTTATAAATGCATCTCTTGGTTATTAAATTCAAACAACATAGAAGACACACTACTTTAAAATTTATCCCTCTTAAAAAATTATTTCTAATTATTACAATTATATATATATATAT